CCTGAGAGCTGTGTCACTGTGCGCTCACACTGTCCTGAGAGCTGTGTCACCCTGCGCTCACACTGTCCTGAGAGCTGTGTCACTGTGCGCTCACAATGCCTTGTTCCATTCCTTTCACAGTGAGTTTGTGTCCTGGCTGATTGAGACCGGAGAGATCAATAAACCAGATGAGGGGGTCAACCTTGGTCAGGCCCTGCTGGAGAATGGCATCATCCATCACGGTGAATGAGCGCAACTTCTTTCTTCTTTATTATTTCATGAGTAGTATTTCATAGTCGACTATCACTTTTCACTGGCGATGTCACGATCCCATCCCCGAGTCATCTAAAAGGATGTTCACTATCGTAAACTTCTCTCTTCTTTCTATTACTTGGGAATTTCCTTTTTCAGACTGCACTGAGTACAGGATAAAAAAACATATCACTTATCAGAACAAACAAAAAAATCAAAGGGTATCAAAAAATTACAAAACACATTTGTAGCAGGTGTGCTGACATTTAATTAAGCAGGCATTACTTCAGTACAATACTGTAGTTGATTAGACTGTCCACAGGGTTGTTCCACAGGTGACCCCTTCCACAGCCTTGTACTGTGGGCGTCCACTACAAGGAATTATACTTTCAACACAAGCTGTTCTTGCAAGCTACTGTTTTCTCCAATACAAGCTGTGCATCTGTAGAAGGTGCAAGAAGTCACAGCACAGTTCAGCACAGGTTTGAAATGAGTTTGAATTTGTTATGAAAAAGGCTCTTTTCCAGAGAACAGCAAAGTAGGCACACTCAAATGTATTCTCCCTCTGGTGCTCCCAATCCAAGCATTTTTACAGGAAATTTTATGTACAGCACTGAGTACAGCTCTGGTCACCTCTGTTATTACCACGAATGGGTGTTCAGAAGTGACCGTTGCATATGTAGTAGAACTATACAAATTATTTCTACACATGGCACAATGGCTATTTCTGATAAGGTCACTTACTTCTGAAATAGCACATACTCGTCAGGTCAGGAGTGAACTCGGGACAGGTCAGGCTCTACACATCTGTCACCCATGCTCT